AGGGAACTAAAGATTATAATTAAAGGAGAAGAAAATATAAACTTGACTTTCAATTAGAGAATGAAGCAAAATACTCTAACATTGGACACACTGAAGGATATTTTTGAAAAAATGGATTCAGAAATTAATTTTAATAGTGTTGACAGAGACATCTGCCTCTATGGAGAGACTGTGTCTAAAAGATGTTATGGAAGAGGAACAAGTTTTACCTGACAAGATTGAGAGTGAGATGAAAGTGGATTTACAAATGACAGGCTAGAAGAATGATATGGAAAACAACATGTTATGCTGGACATACAAAAGAAACTCGGTGATGCTTTCATAAATAAAAGGGATATACAAACAATAAAGCAAGAGAGAGGCACCCGGATAATTTTCCTATATTGGATTTACAAAAGAGATTTGTTAAAATGGACAAAGAAAAAAGTGAAAGAAATAAAGTTCTAAGACATTATTTGGAGGGACTAAAGATTAAGATTGTTAGAAGTAAAAGGAAGGAATATAAAGTTGGTTTATTTGATCAAGGTTAAAATTGATAAGTTGTTCTCTCTGTTAATCTTAATGGACTTCTGCAGACACCAGGACTGAAATAACAATGCTTTATGGATTTATTTATAGATAAGAGATGGGATATGGGAAGAAGAGATCATTTGTTTTTTTTTAAGAGGAGGTGATAAGTTACCAAAATTGTTTATACTTGCTGTGATGAAGGTGGGAAGTCACTTCTTTATATATTTCTTCTCTTGTTCTTTATTACATTCTTACTTTTCTTTCTTTTCTCTTTCTCTATTTTCCTTTCTTTCTTTTCCCTACCCTCTACTCTTCCTTTTTATTCTTCTATCTTTTTTTAGTTTGTATTAGTTTTTACAGTTCTAATTATAAAATTGGAATCAATATATTACTGAGAAAGAGTCTTCAACATAGGTCAACTATGATAAAATCATGGGTTCATCTATATAAAGCAATGCTAGCAAACTTTTCCTAGCTGACTTAAGGAAGTGGAAATCAAATTCAAGCAAATACCTGACCAGGGAGTTAATATAAAAGTTGAAAAATGGAAAAGCAAAGCCAGTCAACAGTTCTGTTTAACCCCTTTCTGAGTTGGAAGATGATTTGTAAACTGCCTTTGAGTTGCCTCTTGCTCACAAGGTTGTTTTGATAATCTTGGACAGGAACAGACAGCCATTCAGATGAAGGACCAACAAGTAGGAGTCAAAGGATTGCTCGAGATACTGTCAAGCAGTCAAAAATGGGTCATCTACCCATCACAGGGAAAGTGGCAAATATAAGAAGATGGACTTGCACTGGGATTATCATTATAACACACCAAAAAAAAGGTCCAGACCTTTGACCTAACAGTGGTTACTAGTTTAGAATTTCAGTAGAGCTTTTCTTGTGAAGTGGTTACCAGTGGTGCAGGATTTATAAACTGTGGGGGAAAAAAATATGTCGACCTTTATATACTCTTTTTCAAACCAGCTTTTGGTGCTGTTTCTTTGGTAGCGCACCTATCTATTTTATTGTTATTGGTTAGAAATATCTGCAACCTCTGAATGACTGTGTCATAGTAGTCAGGAATGGGATTTCCTGAATCAGCCGTGGAACAGAATATTGATCGCTTGGAGTAGCTTATTTTTCTGTAGTAGCTCAGTTCATGTGCGTGTTCCACTTGACCAGGCAAATCCAGAGATGGCCTCAGTGCAAACAGATCTAGTTGTTGTTTAGTCGTTAAGTCGTGTCCGACTCTTCGTGACCCCATGAACCATATTGCGCCAGGCCTTCCTGTCCTTCACTGCCTCCCTG